TTGAACCATGTATCCCTAAAACCCTCAGTAGCAACCACTTCATGAGCTTTTTTAATAATCAAATTATTACTTTTAGAGACAAAATTATTCACTGCCTGCCCTCAACAGGTAACGATGTCTCATCAAATACAGGAATCTTAACAGACCATCATATTCTATTACAGAGACTTGAGGATCTAACTGGCATTAAAAGAACCACACTAAGCTGGTTTAAGTCCTATCTATCAGCTCGATCTCAGTTTGTACAGGTTAACAATGAATATCCCATACACACTAAAGTTAGTCATGGAGTTCCACAAGGTTCTGTGCTTGAATGCAACTGTCATGTGTTTTTTCATTTACTTAGAGCCTTGTTATTCTGTAAAATAAACTAATATGAAGTTAATAAGAGTCTGTGGGAAGTAAAGTAATGGAAGAGGTGCATAATCAGAACAGGTTGAGCACATTCAGTTTGCAGTAATAATGCTGGAGGATATGTTAGTTTTTGTTCTGATGTATGGATTTGAAAAAATACAGACGTTTATAGCCAGAGCAGTTGTGTAAACCAGAGCAGTATGGAGCCATCATTGTCGCAAAACTATTAACAAATGTCAGTGGAGAGTTGTGTAACTGTATCTCAAAATGTGTGTGCATAATCAGAGATAGAAATACAGACATTTCATCAGTTACAACTCTCAGTTGTCTTTTTACAAATGACTTTTGCTACACTTTTGCCATGGCAGAGATCTTTAAATGCTTGTAGCGATATGTGTGGAGAGATTTGTCAGCATGCCTCAGTAGCCACGCCCACTGTTTGACAAAAACCATGAGGCCATAAAGTAACTTACAGTAGCTGAAAATGAGACTGGACCGGGATCAAACAGACCCAATGTTGTGATCTTTCACACAATTACAAATTTGATTACGCACACAGAGATACAGTTACACAACTCTCCACTCACATTTGCAAATAGTTTCTACAATAATTGCTCCATAGGACAGAGTTAATCAGGAAGAAGAAGTCTTTTATCATTATTTATCATCATCATCATCATGCTGTGAGTGTAAACTAACACAAAAAGAGGGTTGAGAGAGGAAGGAAGTGTTAAAGTGAAGCAACTTCAGATTTCTGCTTAAAGTAGAAGGAATGAAGTGACAGAGACAGTTCTCCTGCAGGTTAATGATTTGTCTCATCAGGATCAAATTCAGAATGAATATCCAACATGTTCTCTTCGTCTGCTTCTTATCAGGTGAGAACTGGGAATTTGTTTCTTATAATGCTTTATAAAGGAATTTAAAGCCTCCTCACACGTTGTAAAGCATCTGTAAAATTACAGGCAGCAGTGGTGATTACCTGAAATACAATTTGAAACATGCTGCAAAAAAAGCTTAAAATGCATAGACATACACGCAGAATGTCCTTTACAGTGGCATGCTATATATACGCCCTCCCATCATGTTGAACTTTGGCTGCCTCTGTATCATTCTCTGTGCAGTGATGGATTCACCCTCATTGACCTGCAGTCTGTTTTACAGTCAGTCTACAATACAGAAAGTACTGACCATCAGTGTTCTCTGCTCATCTTTTCAACAGCACTGTGTGGGGGAGACTCTGGGCTCCTCGTCAGTGACAAGACTCAACCTGTACACAGGGAGCCCTGTAGCGAGAGGACAAGTGGTAGCAGTTCAATTCGCAACTTCCAATACGCTCGATCACGCCAGTCTACCTGCATCTAATCAACCCCGCAAGACTGATGGAATTAAGTACAATTATACATAACGATTGCAGGACAACGTGTCATTGAAGGACACATAACCAAATCCTAGGATGACGCTGCAACAGCTCGGTTTCTGCATTGGTACCACCTCAGAGAAAAAACGAAATCGCTTATACTCTGGCCCAAACAACGTCAGAGACTCCACCCTTTCTACTAAGATAATCACTGCTACTCCCTAAGAAAAAAAAAAAAAATTACATATCACACAGGATACATATAGTAGGTTTGAATATAGAATTATTGTACAGATTAACATATAAAGAGACAGGCAAACCAAAGAATGAGCTTACTATTATAAGTAAATACTAAATTAGCCACTCTTACTGCCAGTCCAGATGCAGAAAAACTAATCATGCATTGCTTTACTTGAGGCGTAGGATTACTGCAACTCTTTTTCATCCAGGTTGCCTAATGACAGGATCATTGTAAAACGGCTCCAATCTAATTCAAAAACTCACACGACTCACCCACACACGAAACCACCTCACGCACCCCACACCAGATCATATCTCTCCTGTTCACGCTTCCTCGGATGGCATTGATCCCTGCGTTAAATGTTCTTACTTAACGGCAAAACAATAAAAGACATTCTTTTTTTAAAAATGTCCTTCCCTCCTTTTCACCTTCTTTACCCAACTTACAAGCAAAAACAACCTCCCTTTTTCCATGGTCTTTTCCAAAAGGCACCCCATTCAAAAAACATCAAACCTTTCACTTTTGGAAAAAAGGAGCTTCTC